AGCTAAGCGTGATCTCCACATCTGTCCTGATTGCCTTGCCGTCTGTCTGCACAAGATTGATCACATGAAACGGGTGGACTTTCTCATTTTACTTGTTACCACAACTCAGCATCTATCAATCCCTCAAGGCCAACTCTACCATTCTTGCCAAGGCGGCGCATACAATCGATCCGTAGTCAGTCTGAGTTGGGAGGAGAGGGGGGTGGGAGAAGGGGACTGACAAGCACTGACTATGTAATGTTGTGACGATAAGTTCCCGCCTCTCACCCCAACTTCGGGTATCATGGCGACGAGGCAGTCCACTTTGTCCGGCGCCAGTGAAATACTCGATTTCCTCAATGACCACTTGGCACGCAATCAAGTGTCTATCTTTCACCACCTCACGCTTGGCGCCATAGTGCTCCTTTTCTGCCTCCACCTCCTTCAATTCACATTGTTTTCTTTCGCTCTCGCCCTAAGTAAGCTAAGACAGCAATGATACGCCTTCACGAAGGCATTGCAATGTGAGTCATGGAACGCGAAAAGAGGAAGGCTTTCGAGACAAGGAATGATGACAGCTACAAACCCAATATCCATTGCATTGTCAAAAAGTCAGGATATAGCCCATATGATGGAGAAATTTGATCCAAATCTTGGTAAAATTTGTGACAATTACTTGTTTAACCATATGAGGAGGTATAACAATTGTGTAGAATTGTTAACACCCACCATAAACCTCCTTATAGTATTGCCTACTGCCTTAGTCACCACTTTTGAAAGCCACGGGTCGTAAAGTTGTACGCAGTGGTGACAGCATGAACAATCAAGGCAGTAGATTATTCACACAGGGAGTAGTGTACCACTGCATTGGAGGACAGTCCGGTATTGAATCGAGGGTACCGTTTGATTACACTATCTCGAGGTTAATGCGATAAGGAGGGCCCATGGTGCTGTTTAACCTGGTAAGGGGTGAAAAGAATTGTTTATACTCGGTACCAATTGACAAATTTGTGGTGCAGCCGCATGCTAAGCACCCGAAACCCACCCAAATGCTACCGCGTTAACAAGAGGTGACGGTTTATTTGGAGGACCATCAATCTCATTGTCTCTCCCCTCTTTTGCGAACGACAGACAGTTAAGCCTTTGTTACAAGGATTGTTGGCCGGCTTGTGGGTTGTGATGGCGAGTAGTCGGGCATCACATCGTGCTGTCTGGTGGAGAAATGAAGAGCCTCGTGCGTGCATTCAGACAAGACTTAGTATGATTCGTCTTCATGACAAAACGCCTTCC